GGGGGGCGGGGGCGGGGAGCCCGGGGGAGCTGATGGGGTCGGCCCGGGGGTCTCGGGGGAGGTGGAGGTAGTGAAGGGGCAGCCGTTCGACGTGGGCCCCCGCTACACGCAGCTGCAGTACATCGGCGAGGGCGCGTACGGCATGGTCAGGTGAGGGGGCGTTCCGGGGGGAGGGGGCTCCTGAGGATGGGGGACCGGGAGGGATGCCGAGGGCCTTCTGGGCCAGGGAGACTCCCAGGGTCCTGAGGAGGCGGGGGCTTTCGGGAGGCTGGGGGGAGTCCCACGGAGGGGGCCTTGGGCTGCTTTCTGGGGGAGCGGCGCTGCGTACGTTCTCGTGGGAGGGGGCTTGGAGGCCGCAGAAGCGCCCATTCCGTTGTGAGGGGAGGGGCATCTGAGTGTACGTGGGGGAGCTGTGGGGCCCTCGGGGACCCTACGGACTCGGGGAGAGGCGGAGAAACTAAGTATTCTTGGGGAGGTGATATCGTCAGCGAAGAGCGAGCGAAGGACCCTACTCTGGGGAGAGGATGCCTTGGATTCTCCCAGTAAGGCCTGCCAAAGAGTTTGGGAGAGAAGAGCGGAGCTCAGGGCTGGACAGGGTGGGGCAGGCCTTTGGGCCTGGGGCCAGGGGCCCAGTGAGCCATGAGGGGTCCAGGAGTGCCCGCTTGCAACTTTTAGGAGGGATCTGTGAGCTCTCTCATCCCCACTGTGTGCTCTGGGCCTTTGTTCATCTGGGGAGAGCTCTCCTGCCCAGGTGCCTCGCCCTAACACCCGTGTCTGTCTCAGCCCTTCTTTCCGGTCTCTCCTGTGACTCCCTCCTTCTCACTGTGTGTGCCTCACTGTACATCCTCCACTCACGTCCCACCCCCTGGACCTGTCTTGGGTTGAGGGAGCCCATCCTGGATAGGGGAGGATGAGAGGTCAGGGCACCTAGAATGGACAGGATTGAGGCAAGGGGAAGTCAGTGAGCGGTCAGTCTCTTCCTCTGTTTGTGAAGTCACTGAAGGGCTGCCTGGCTGGTCCCCAGCTTTCTCCCTGGAGATCCCAGGCCTTCACAGCAGGAAGGAACCAGCATTGTTTACGACTTGGCCAGAATCCTCTTTTGCTCCCTCCCCTCCCTGCTCAGGCCTGGGTGGGGCCCCCAGGCCTGGACTCCCCCTATGTAAGGCCACACCGACAGCATCTCTCTGGCCCCCTCAGCTCAGCTTATGACCACGTGCGCAAGACTCGCGTGGCCATCAAGAAAATCAGCCCCTTCGAGCATCAGACCTATTGCCAGCGCACACTGCGGGAGATCCAGATCTTGCTGCGCTTCCGCCATGAGAACGTCATTGGCATCCGGGACATTCTGCGGGCGCCCACCCTGGAAGCCATGAGGGATGTGTATCCTTCACCTTGGCCAGATGGCTGGCCCGGCATGGCCTCAGAGCTGGGCTGGGAGAACGTTGGCTTTCTTTCTGTTTCCTTCTTCCCTGCCACACTCCAAAACAAACCCAGTAAATGAAACTTTCCAGCAGAAAAGAGGCCACAGAGTGTAAGACGACTCGGAGGCCCGAGGTGGATCCTGGCCTGCGGCAGACAGGCTGTGTGGCCTTGGGCAAGTCTGTTCTCCATGCTCTGCCTCATTTGGAGGGGAGGGAGGGGAGGGCTGGGCTCTATGGGAGCTTTGTCTTTTGACATCTGCAGTTCTGTGACGTGATCCAGCCTCTGCCCACAGTCAGTTCTTGTTTAACAGACGATGATTCTTTTCTCTCTGGGTCCTCAGACGGGAAGGAAGGCAGGAAGGAAGAGAACTGCCCCTTTTTTGAGGGCCTACTATGAATCAAGTGCAGTGCATACCCAGTACTTTGACATTTCTGGTTCTACCTCCCAACTGCTGTATGAGATGGGTCATCAGCTCCATTTCAAAGATGAGGAAACTGAGCCTCAGAAAGCCTAAAATCAAGTGCTACCCTTGCTGCCTCCTACCCTCCCCCAGATGAGAACTGTCCTTCTTTCTCTGGGACTTCCTGCTCAGAGCCTCACCCCAGTCACCTGTGGACTTGCACTTTGCCCAGGGAGGGACAGCCTTGCCTTTGTTGCCCTTCCCCCCACCCCCACATTGCTTTCCTAGCTCGCTGTCCACTTCCTGCCAGGCTCTGTTGTTAGCAGCTTGTAGCACCCATCACCTCTCCCCACCCAACCCACCCCCGGTTAGTCCCAGTTCCCCACTCAAATGTGGGGATTTGCGCTGCACTGTCTGCAGCCCCCACCACAAGCTGTGGGCAGGAAACCTCCACAGTCACCCCCAGCTTGCTGTGTGACCTTAAATCAGGCACTGCATCTTGCTGGGCCTCTTTGTCTCTTAAAACAGCAGGATTGATCCACATGTTTTCAGAAGGCCCTTTTGAGGCTGATTTTAAAAGACAGTCCTGAGGGTCATCTCGCTGAATCTTCATAACTACTCTCTGAAGAACCGTTCTTTCCCCTATTCTACAGATAAGGAATTAGAGGTGCAGCCAGGTTGAGGTCATAAGGCCAATGAGCAGTGGCGTGGGGGTTTCAGACACCGGCAGGACAACTCCAGAGCATTGCCCTTGACTGTGAAGCTCTCCCGCCTCCTGCAGTTTATTATCCCCGTTTTCCCAGGAGGGAAACTGAGGCTACAGAATTGAAATACTTCTGCTCAGCGCTCCCAGCTGAGATGCGGCAGGGGGCCCGAGCCCAACTGCTGAGTCTGGGCCTTGTCCAGCTCGTGATAAGGGCTGGCAGATCTTTCGAGTCCTAGCTGGAAGGGGACGTAGAGCCTAGTCACCAGAGCCTGTTCTTCTTAACCAAATATCTCCTGCTGCCCCCACGTGGGGGGTCTCCGGTGCCATCTTCAGCTACATTGTGCAGGACCTGATGGAGACAGACCTGTACAAGTTGCTCAAAAGCCAGCAGCTGAGCAACGACCACATTTGCTACTTCCTCTACCAGATCCTGCGGGGCCTCAAGTATATCCACTCAGCCAACGTGCTCCACCGGGATTTAAAGCCCTCTAACCTGCTCATCAACACCACCTGCGACCTTAAGGTCAGAGGATTAGGTACCTGTCCCTTCTTCCCATGGGTCTGGGGCTTCCAGGCAGCCATTCCGGCCCGCTTGAGTAGAACATCGCAAGCAGAGGGAACATTGTGGGCAGAGGCGTGGTGAGGTGACTGCTTGGGCCTTGGAGGCCTTAGGCACCGAGCTTAGCAGCCTGGGTTGGCTTCCAGATCTGTGATTTTGGCCTGGCCCGGATTGCCGATCCTGAGCATGACCACACTGGCTTCCTGACAGAATATGTGGCCACACGCTGGTACCGGGCTCCAGAAATCATGCTTAACTCCAAGGTAAAGGGGCCACCTGTGCCTGAGGGAAAGGGACCAGGTTCCAGAGAGCTCTAGAGCCACCTCTGAGCCAGGCATGACCCCTAGATACAGGAAGTCTGCCCCCAGGCCTAGTCACATGACTCTGGTGCTTAGGCTCTGGAAAGAGGCTGAGCATTAACTCCTCCAGGCCTGTGCCCTCTGCCTCCGTGGCTGGTATTAAGTCTAGACTGGAGTCGTGGCTTGGCCCAAATAGCAGGACCCTGCTGAAGCTGGCCTAGGAGCCCACTACTTTCTCCTCCTCCCCAGGGCTATACCAAGTCCATCGACATCTGGTCTGTGGGCTGCATTCTGGCTGAGATGCTCTCCAACAGGCCCATCTTCCCTGGCAAGCACTACCTGGACCAGCTCAACCACATTCTGGGTGAGGGGGGCCTGGCCAGCTGAGTGGGGGTGGGGGGAGATTAGTGGGAGGTGAGATTTCTTTGTAGTTCAGGTACCACCACATGTGGAGCCCCTACAGCATCTCACAGTATTTCGATGAGATACAGGTACTATCCCCATTCGATAGATGGGAAAAGCAAGGCTACAGCCCACACTTAGGAAGTGCTAACATCAGAATTTGAACATAACGACTGCCCAAATCCAGATCCCTTGCCCTTCATCACCATAGTATTGGCTGAGAGATTAACTGTCAGGGCCTAGAGCTCGATGGTGGGGACTCTAGTTTCTCTAGTTTCTGTTCCCAGAAGGGAGAGGAGAACTCTCAAAAAGGCACCTGCCTTACCCACAGGGATCCTGGGCTCCCCATCCCAGGAGGACTTGAATTGTATCATCAACATGAAGGCCCGAAACTACCTACAGTCTCTGCCCTCCAAGACCAAGGTGGCCTGGGCCAAGCTTTTTCCCAAGTCAGATGCCAAAGGTGAGAGAGACATGGGGGTCGGTATGGGGTAAAAACACAGTGCAGAGGAGGGAACATGAGCCAAGCCCCTGGCTGAGTAGACAGAAACCTGGGCATGAGAAGCAAAGCAATGCTTCTGGGAACTCTTCCAGCCTCCCTTTTGACCCCTGACTCTTGCCCTTATCTAGCCCTTGATCTGCTAGACCGGATGTTGACCTTTAACCCCAACAAACGGATCACAGTGGAGGAAGCACTGGCTCACCCCTACCTGGAGCAGTACTACGACCCCACGGATGAGGTGGGCCAGCCACCAGCAACAGGGCTGGTGGGTAGATGGATGGGTAGGCGACCCTCAGTACCCGGCCTGAGCCTGACTTCTTTACACCCCAGCCAGTGGCCGAGGAGCCTTTCACCTTCGACATGGAGCTGGATGATCTACCCAAGGAGCGGCTGAAGGAGCTCATCTTCCAGGAGACAGCCCGCTTCCAGCCTGGGGCACTGGAGGCCCCCTAAACTGGACAGACACCTCTGCAGTTTGAGGCCTGGTGAGTGCTCCCCACAGCCCACGCACAGATTCAGCCTACGCCAGTGCTCCCGGCACGCCTCCATATAGTCACAAGCTTGTTCACGCCAATGAGGCATGTGCATGGTGGCCACAGAAAGGCTAGAGCCTGCCCGGGCCACAGACCTGGGGGCCACAGGTTCTTTACATCCATCTTCCTTTCCCCTAGTCCCAAAGTCTCCCCCCTGGGCAACACCCTGCACCCTCCAGCCCCCTCAGGGACCTCAGGCCCCTCTCTCCCATCTGAGGGACAGCCAGAGCTCGGCTCTCCTGGTATGGGCAGAGAGGCAGGTGGGGCAGTAATTGCTTTGGGAGGAGCCAGCACCCGGCCTGACCCAGATGCCAGGCTTCCTCACACCTGGTGCCCGGGTCAGCGGTTTGCACACCCACCCACGCAGGGCTCCTTCCTCGAGTCTCCTTTCCACCTTTCCTGCCAGCCGCAGCTTGATGGAAGGAAGGCACACACACCTGGGCTCAGATTCCAGCCCTGCCCCTTAGTAAGAGCTGTGTGATGTTGTGCAAGATACCTCACTTGTCGGTGCCTCAGTTTCCTGGGGAGAGCCCTGATGATGAGAGCAAACATAGGGCACTAATCATTGGTCCGAGAGGCTTATGTATATTAACGCATTCAGCCCTCCAGCTGTCCCTTGAGATAGGCACCGATGTTATCCTCATTCGCAGTCAAGGAAAACAAGACACATCCCAGTCAGCCGTGAGGAACAAATGAGGGGACTTGAGGTCAGGGCTCTGGCAGGTCATCTGGTGGGTGCTAATGGCTCCTTTCCTGCCTGCCTTTCTGTTTAGGCCCTGCCTCCTGCCTGCCCCTCCCCTGCTGGACTGTTAGAAAATGGACACTGTGCCCCGCCCAGACCCCCCCCCCCCCCCCCCCCCCCCCCCCCCGGGCAGACCGGGTCAGGGCGGAGGGTGGGCCTGGCCACCTTCCCTGATTTTGCTCTGGCCTCCTGCTTCAGGCAGGCCAAGGTTCCCTCCGCCCCACCCCCCTGTCCCTCCCAGGACCTGAGGGGCTTAGGTGGCCCCCCACGCAAACTACCCTCTGCAGCTTGCCTTTGTCTACCCCGGCTATCCCAGTCTCTGGTAGTTCTGGAATGGAAGGGCTCTGGCTGTCCCAGGACCTCCTGAAGGGCAGTGAGGGGATGGGGGACGCTGAGTAAGGGACTCAGGGCAAGCCCTGACCCACTAAAACCCCGCCCCATTTTCCCCGAAGGAATATTCCTGAGGCTCAAGGGCTAGTATCCCTGAGGAGCAGGGCCCAGGCCGAAACCCCCTCCCCCAAAGCTGCCACATCTAACACCCCCTGCTGCCTGTGTGTGTGGGTGAACAGAAGTGGGGCTGGGGGCACGAGGAGAGCCTGGTGCCCCTGCCCACCCCTGTGCCTGTATCTAATATATAAAGATAGAAACGTGTATATGATGGCCCTGGCTCTGTCTGTATCCGCCGATGCCCTACCCTAACCATTACTTTGAGGACTGACTCGCCTGCCCAGCCCCTTCCCAGCGGGGTGGCTTTCCCCAGTCCTGGTGCTCCTTGGCTCCCCGGGTGGCCAGGGTTGCAGATGGGAGTGTAAGGAGCGCCAGACTCCTGGACAGAGTGGGGTCAATTTTCCCCTTAGTCACTGTTCTCTCCCCTCCCAAATGGCCTCCCATCTCGCTGGCTGGGGTGATTCGGGGGTGACTCAGGGACATCCTACACACCCCTGGATTCTCTGGAAATGGCAAGGGGTGGTGTGCTGTATACCCCGGCCACCAGCACCCATGGGAGGGGGCACGGTTGTAGCAGACCCAGCGCTTGGGGTGGGGGTGGGGGTCGTTTCCCCAGTATGGCCGAGGAGAGAGGGGTGCTGGGGTCCGTGGAGGATCTAGAGGCGTGAGAGCCAGAGCTGCCGGGCACCTCTCCTGCCTGTACCCCCTCCCCGGCTGAGCCCTGCAGCCTGGCCCCAGGCCAAGAGCCGGCTCAGCAGGTCCCAGGGGTGTGGTGGCTACCAGCGGTGGAGCCAGCCTACGCTGGCCAGGCAATCAGCAGAGGCAGCACAGTCCATCAGGAGCAGCCGAGTGTGTGGCAGCGGGAGCCCAGAGAGGCAGCGTGACCATGAGCTCTCTGCTCTCCTACGCCCTGCCCGCCCTGGGCAGCTATGCCATGCTGTCCATCTTCTTCCTGCGCCGGCCTCGCCTGCTGCACACACCCTGGGCTCCAGTCTTCCTGCCACGCCTGGGGGCCCACCGAGCAGGTACGCTGGGCGGCGGTTGGGCGGGAGGATGGTGATGGTGACTGCTGAGGGCGGAGTAAGGACAGCAAGGTGCCAGCAAGGGTGGACGGCAGTGGGGGAGGTCCAAGCAGCGGCTGTCAGGAAGAGGGCAGAGCCTGAGGTAGGAGAGCAGGACGGCAGGGAAGGACGTGGAAGGGGGAAGAAGAGGTAGGGGTGAGGGGAGAGGAGGGAGGCCAGGCTCCTGGGACCCACCCAGCTGCCCCACACAGGATCTGGAGAACTACTGGAGAACACCATGGAGGCCATGGAGAAGTGAGTGCACCTGCCAGCTGTGAGCTGCGAGACACCAGGAGGCGCCACTCACTTCCTAGTCTGAGTGACCGGGGCCCTCTGGAGGTGTGCAGTGCACAGCCTGCCCATCCTGCCGTGAACTCTGGCCCATGCTCCCCTAAACCTCCCCGCTGTCCTGTGGTTTGTCCTGTTCCTTCCCCCGGGCCTCTCCGCACTGACCTTCACTCCCACAGCTCCCTGGCCCAGCGATCAGACTTCCTGGAGCTTGACTGCCAGTTGACACGAGATGGCGTGGTGGTGGTATCTCACGACAAGAACCTGTCCCGCCAGTCAGGCGTGAATAGGGACGTGAGCAGCCTGGACTTTGAGGTGGGCCTTGCCCCAGCACCCCCCTCACTCTACCCAGAGAGCCACGGTGCCTCCACGCGTGCCCCCTGGTGACGTGCTCCCTCTTCTCCCCAGGAGCTGCCCCTCTACAAGGAGGAGCTGGAGGTCTACTTCTCACCAGGTGAGAGTGTGACCTCACGAGTGGGGTCCTGGCCTCAACCTCCTGCCCTCCCTTCTCCTCTGGGACTGGTCCCCCTCCCCCTGGGCTCCCACCCCGCCCATCCCCCTCTGATCCCTCTTGCCACAACCCACCCAGGTCGCTTTGCACACGGGTCGGACCGGCACATGGTGAGTCTGGAGGACGTGTTCCAGAGGTTCCCTCGGATGCCCATGAGCGTGGAGGTCAAAGAGGAAAACGAAGAGCTCATTAACAAGGTGGTGCTGCTGCGGGGCTGGGGTGGGAAGGGACCTGGGGCTGGAGAGAGGCCTGACTCCCCTTCACCTCTTCCTTCTCCTCCTCCCAGATAGCAGGCCTGGTGAGGCACTTTGACCGAAATGAAATCACCGTCTGGGCCACGGAGAAGAGCTCGGTCATGAAGAAGTGCAGGGCTGCTGTGAGTCCCTGCTCCCTCCCTGCTCCAGCGACCCCTTCTCCCAGGCGCTGGAGGCTCCAGGGGCCTAGGCTGGACAGGTGTGGGGTGTTGTGGAGGAACCAGCCCTGAGCAGAGTCTCAAAGGGTAGGATGCCGAGAGGAGAGGGGTGGGGACAGGGGGAGCACAGGCATTGCTGCTGGAGACCCAGAGGGTGCGGTCAGGCCTGAACGCTGGGCCGACATACAGCTCCGATCCTGCAGGTGGCGGACCTTCCTGAATGTCCAGCGCTGTTTCCCCTGCAGCCTAAGTCCCCTTTCTGCTTTCCTGGGAGCAGACTGACCCTCTTCTCCCTTCCCCTTGCCTCCCAGAACCCCGAGATGCCGTTCTCCTTCACCATCGGCCGAGCTATCTGGTTGTTACTGCTCTATTACCTGGGGTTGCTGCCCTTTGCATCCATCCCGGAGAGGTTTTTCTTCTGCTTCCTGCCCACCATCATCAATAGGTACCTGCAAGGTCCCTGCCTGCCTTCTACATCCTCCCCCAGGCCCCCAGATGCTTTTGTCCTCAAATAAACTCCCCCCACTTCAAGCCCCACTACATGGGGTCCCCAGCTCCCTGGCCACCCTCAAGGATCCCCCCAGGGTCCCCTGAAGAGAAGGATTTTCAGGAGCATTTATGAATACTGAGGAGCCAGGAGGCTTCCTCTTCGAACCCTTTGAAATTCTATGCAAATGTGTGTTGATGTGGATGGGTTTGAGGACAGAGTATTCATGTATTCATCCATTTCATCCAACAAATATTTATTGAATGTCTCCTCTGTTCTGGGCACAGTGACACTAGTAAATAAACCCAGTGTGAGTGGACTAAGGCCCTCGGTGAGCTTATAGTCTGGCTGGGAGACAGATATCAATCAATTATAGTATTCTCTGATTCTCAAAAGGAAAAGCAAGTTTTTTCCTGCTGGGAGAGTGGGATTAACAAAGTAACAGCTGGGTAAAGTATCAGAAATTTGGATACTTCACCAGCTCTGAAGCCTGGCCCCTCCCTTCCCTTTCTGAGAACTCTGTGGCAGCCCCTAGGCTTCCTTCTCCCCTATGTTATCCTGAGGGAAGCTCTCAGCCAGCCCCCACAATCTCTTGCTACAAAGACATCATTAGACTACTGAACTTTGTGTACAGACCTTCTCATACAGTGTTTGCAAAGTGTTTTCACATCCTTTGGTTGGTTAGAGCTTTATCTGTGGCAACCCAGAAGGTACTAGAATCATGACACCGCCCCCTCAGTACCCATGGAGAATCCGAGGCTCAGAGAGGTTCTGTAATTTGCTCAAGGCCACACAGCTAGAAGCGCAGGGCCTGGGTTTGTCTGGGTCTGACCCCAAAACCTGTGCTGGGACATTGTAAAGGGCCTCTAAAGTCATCCCTGAAGCGGGCCAATCATGGGCAAGTAGCCGACTCACTGGAGTATTGTCTGGTCACAAGAAGCTGGTCGGGCCCAACCAGGGGACCTTTAGATTGTGCATCTAGCTTGAGAATCAAGCTGGGTTCTGGTCTTGGCCCTGACCCCACCACAGATTTGCTGCGACACCTTGGGCAAGTCACTTTAGCTCTCCAAAACTGAGTTACCTCCTCTGTACAACAGCGAGGGAGGGCACACTCTCAAAGTATGGAGGCACAGATGTGCACATAGAAGGATCTCACTAAACAACAGGTGACTTTTTCATATGGGCTTCTAGAGGCGCCAGGGTAACACCGGTCAGGGGTCACTACCACCCCACTCCTGTGACAGAGTGAGACGCAGGGGGCTGATCATGATTCCACCTCTCTGCAGGACCTACTTCCCATTTTCCTGCTCTGGGCTGAACCAGCTGGCAGCCGTGATTTCCAAATGGTGAGGGGGTGAGGATGCTGGATGGCGTGTCCCCGTGGAGACCTGCCGCTGCCCTTCTTAGTCCCCTCTCATCGTGGCCTTTGCCACCCTCTCCCCACTAGGTTAATCATGAGGAAAAGTCTGATCCACCATCTGGAGCAGCGAGGAGTGCAGGTGAGGCTTGACCACCACGCCCTCAGCAAGTGGGTGATTCACAGTGTGGGCCTAGCACAGCGTTCCAGTGAACAGCTGTGCTACCGATTAACTGGGTCCCCTGGGCAGGTCACCTTCGGAGTCTCAGTCTCTTGATTTGTGAAATGGGGGTGATGGTACATTTAACTGGTACCTAGTAATGGCTTGACAAGTGTAGCCATTATCATTGAACCTACTGTCCTGATTCCTGAGGAAGGGGTGAGTGGGGCTGGGGAAAAAAAACGGCCCGGCCCCTCCCCTCCCCTGAGCATCCACTTTGATCATTTAATTAGCAAACCTTTGTTGAGAATGGACTACATTCCAGGCACTGTGGTACCAGGGGCGGAGCAGGGAGTCAAATCAGGGGCAGAGGAAGGAAACGGGCACTCACAGGCACCAAGTGGACAGAAAGGAAACAGCACCGTGGTCTGTGGGGTCACAGGAGGCCCTCTGGAAGAAATGAGGAGCTGGCTCGCACGGAGGGGGAAAGAAGAGCATCTCAGGCAGGCTCAGCTGCGGGGAGCAAGAGGCCACGGCGGGAGGAGGAGGAGCTGAGAGAGGTGCCACCAGGCTGCGGTGTGTGGCGAGGGGAGCTGGAGGAGGCGGCCTAGGCTGAGGCAGGCGGCCTGTGAACCTCAGTAAGGAGCCTGGACTTCAGCCTGGAGGACGGGAAGCTTTGGAGGGCCTGAAGCAGGGCAGAGACCCGATCCAGTGGAGTCTGGGATTAAGGGTCACTCTGGCCACCGATGTGGAGAAGCGATCATGGGCGCCAGTGTAGGAGCAGAGAATCTCAGGAGGCAGATGCCGTCGCTGACTGGTCCTGGGCTGAGGCGTCAGCAGTGGGATGGGTGGACCAGCTGGCTGACGGGCCAGCAGCACTCCACAGCGCCGAGGTGGGGGTGAGTGAGGCATGGGGAGGACGCGCCTCTT